TAGCTCATTGTGCGTTTGTGTCTGTGTCACTAAACCAAACCAAAACCAAACCAAACCAAAACCAAAACCAAAACTCCCCCTGAAATATCGTTCGTGTCATTGCATAATTACCACCCAGACTCCCCCCTAAATTGAAGACTCCCCACTTAGTGCCAAAGTTCTTTTAGCTAGCCAAAGAATGTAGAGATCCACAGCAAACAGCCACAGCAAACAGCTACAGCAAAAGCAACATGAACATCAAACAACAACAAAATGAACTTTATTTTTTAGATGTACTAAATCGGGTTTGAAAGAAATTCAGTGTCCCTCCGGTTTGGCCTTTGATGTGATCAAACAGACCTGCGACTGGAAGGCCAAGGTGACCAATTGCGATGAGAAAGAGAGTAAGTGTGCCGAAACAACAACAACAACAACAACCAAGCTAGAAAACCAACAACAACAAAAACCAAAACAAAACAAAACAAATCAATTCCTGGAACCACACTTGTACATACAGTAGTCAGCAATGTTAGATTCGGAACTTTGGTAGAATCAAATCCGTTAACCCACTCCAAAATCCAAAATCCAAAAACACAAACCTAACCCGCACCAAATGGTAGACACCACAACACAATGGTGTGATCGTTGCGAAACACCCCACACCCCACTACCCACCACCCACCACCCACCACCCACTACCCGCTAACCCACCTACCAAACTCACCAAATCAACCGCACTAACCGCACTCATGCATTCATATGTATATTTCTCATTTCAAAATTTAGACATGTGTTGTCACTAACCAAACTTTAGGCACAAGACCCTCAAGATGATCCTTGATCTAACCCCCATCCACCATCTCTCATTCGCACGTTTCAACAGAGCCCCGCAAGGCCAAGCCCATCCTGAAGACGGATGAGCCCATCTGTCCAGAGGGTAAGCTGTCCTGCGGCGATGGCGAGTGCCTCGACAAGGAGCTCTTCTGCAACGGCAAGCCCGATTGCAAGGACGAGTCCGATGAGAACGCCTGCTGTGAGTGTCACCTGTCCCTTGACAAGCCCTGATCCCCAGCACACAGACTAATCTCCCAACTTAACAGCTGTCGATGAGGATCCCAACCGTGCTCCCGAGTGCGATCCCACCCAGTGCGCCCTGCCCGATTGCTTCTGCTCGGCGGACGGAACCCGCATTCCCGGCGGAATCGAGCCCCAGCAGGTGCCCCAGATGATCACGATCACCTTCAACGGTGCCGTGAACGTGGACAACATCGATCTGTACGATGATCTCTTCAATGGCCAGCGCCAGAACCCCAACGGCTGCTCCATCAAGGGCACGTTCTTCGTCTCGCACAAGTACACCAACTACTCGGCCGTGCAGGATCTGCACCGTCGTGGCCACGAGATCTCCGTGTTCTCGCTGACGCACAAGGACGATCCCAACTACTGGTCCGGCGGCAGCTACGACGATTGGCTGGCCGAGATGGCCGGATCCCGATTGATTGTCGAGCGCTTTGCCAACATCACCGACGGCTCGATCATCGGCATGCGTGCCCCCTACCTCCGTGTGGGCGGCAACAAGCAGTTCGAGATGATGGCGGATCAGTTCTTCGTCTACGACGCCTCGATCACCGCCTCCCTGGGCCGCGTGCCCATCTGGCCCTACACCCTGTACTTCCGCATGCCCCACAAGTGCAACGGCAACGCCCACAACTGCCCCTCCCGTAGCCATCCCGTGTGGGAGATGGTGATGAACGAGCTGGATCGTCGCGACGACCCCACCTTCGATGAGTCCCTGCCCGGTTGCCACATGGTCGACTCCTGCTCGAACGTCGCCTCTGGCGAGCAGTTTGCGCGCCTCCTGCGCCACAACTTCAACCGCCACTACAACAGCAACCGTGCCCCTCTGGGTCTGCACTTCCACGCCTCGTGGCTGAAGTCCAAGAAGGAGTACCGCGACGAGCTGGTCAAGTTCATCGAGGAGATGCTGGGCCGCAACGATGTGTTCTTCGTGACCAACCTGCAGGTGATCCAGTGGATGCAGAACCCCACCGAGCTGAACTCGCTGCGCGACTTCCAGGAGTGGAAGGAGAAGTGCGATGTCAAGGGCCAGCCCTACTGTTCGCTGCCCAACGCCTGCCCCCTGACCACTCGGGAGCTGCCCGGCGAGACCCTGCGCCTGTTCACGTGCATGGAGTGCCCCAATAACTATCCCTGGATCCTCGATCCCACTGGCGACGGCTTCTCCGTCTAAGGCAGAACACTCTCCTGCTCTTTTACTTTTCCAAAACCAACAAGAGAACAACTCATAGTAGTTCCACCGAGAGTCTGATAAACTAAAACACCCACAAAAACAAAAACCCTACAAGCAAACAAGCAAACAAACAAACAATATGTTGAACCATCTACACAAAAATACTCAATTAGTTGCATCTTGTGTGATCCTAAAAAGAAGTTTCGTTTCGTTTCCCCCTCTATTATTTATGCAAATCTTATCGTTTCCGTTTCGTTTCGTTTCGTCTCTCACTTTCCACTTTCTATGCCCCCTATAGTCCGCTGTTTGTCTCTCAACTCTTTCTCTTTCCCTTCCTGATGCCTATATCTTTTCCTTGATCTGCTCGTACTATTTCTGTTTCGTTTCTCATTTATGTTGATGATAAAGTGATTTTTTTTTTAATTTACTTCGCTGCTTCTTTGATCTGTTCAAAGATAATTTTCAAAAACAAAAAAAAACCAAGCGCCAAAAATCGCAGCAGCACAAAAATATCTTCGTAATTGTATAAGTATTTTTTATAAGAAAAATATAAAAAATATATATAAAAAAAAGAATAATACTTACTGGTTTTAATGTGGGACTTACGGAAGGGAGGAGTTCGGATCCCTGATAAATGGATAAACGGAGCTGCAAAGACCACAAATGAAACTCATAAAAACAGAAAAGAATAACGAAGAATAAGAAGGATACGTATTTTTGTTGTTAGTTTTCTACTTTATAGATTTTATTCTCGCACATGCAATTTGCTCTGGGTTAACTACTCGCCACAGCTACGTTTTAAGTTAGTAAATATTATTAGACGACGGCATTCGACCATTGGACTGGATTGGAGCCAGGAGTCGGGATTCGGGAGTTGGGAGTGATTAGAGCCAACGAAGTCTGCGACCAACTCATAGTTGTCCACGCGGCGATACAAATACAAAAACAAAAAAAAAAACAACAAAAAAGAAAGTTAATTAGAGCCACAGGCGCACTTGTTGATCCCAACTGGTCGAGGCTAGACACATGCCATTGGGGCACAGGCTGATGCAAGTAATCCGATTCTCGTGTCCAGACAGTGTGCCTATGGCAGGGACGGGCGGGGGGGCGAGAGACAAAACAAGAAATCGATATAAGCATTTGCATAGGTTTCTCCATCACCATGTCTATACCCATCCACCAATACCCACCCGTATGCTTCTGTTTCATCGTGTCCCACGAGTGCACCATGCCCTCAATGCCGCCGCACATTAGGTAGCGCCCGCTGGTCGATAGAGCTAATGAGCACACAACACAAAATCAGATTAAAAATTGTCAAAAGTCAAGGCGAAAAGCACGCCAAAGACGCACCGCACGAAGTGAAGCCCGTGTTCTTCTGGGGTGGGGCGTACAGGCCGATTTGTTGATCCGATCGCAAGTCGTACAAGCGCGCCGTCTGATCCTCCGAGCAGGAGGCGAAGCCATAGCCATTTGGATGGTACTGTCCAAAACAGAACGTTATGATGCAATTTTCGAGAGACGAAGCTTGAAAGATGTACTTACGCAAACAGAGGAGACGTCCATGTCGTGGCCAAAGAACATCTGCTTGTGGCCCTGTTCGCGTACATCCCACAATTTGGCAGTTTTGTCCACAGAGCCCGTTATGTAAGTCTGCATATCGGGAGACAGCGACAGGCCAGCGATGTCGCCAGCATGCCCATTGAAATCCATTGTCTTGACACCCTTCTCCAGATCCCAATGGCAGCTGCAACGATACAAAAGTGATAGTACAGCCAATACTCTTCTAGAGATGGAGAGATACCTTACATCTTCATGTCGCCCGATCCGGTGATCAAATGGCTATCGTCGAGGAAGCGACAGGAGCTGAGGAAGCCCTCGTAGCCCACGAGCTCGCGCACCATTTTGGCTACGCCCGAGGCATCGCGATTGTTCACATCGTAGACAGTGCAGGCGTTATCCATGCCGCCGCAGGCCACGAAATTCCCCGATGGCGAGAAGGCCACCGTCATCACCCAGGCCGATCGCAAGGGTATGATCTGCACTTTGTTGGCTGTCCATGTGTCCCAGATGATCAGTTTGCCATCCAGCGAGCCAGTGACGCAGTGGCGCGAGTCGCCAGCGAAGTGCACCGAGTTGACCTTGTTGATGTGACCCTTGAGAATCTTCTTCGACGAGAAGCGGATCTTGGTCACATCACTCATGTCGCCGCATTTGTCGGCCAACGTGCAATCCGCCTTGGCCTTTTGGTCCTCCTGCAACGAGATGAAGTTTGATTTAAATCCCATTCGATTGGAGCAGCTTAGGGGGGAAAAAAAATGCAACCTTAAACTTCTCTATCATGCCATTGATTTCGTCGTATAGGGCCTGTGTTTCTGGATCAATTTTAGGCATGATTGAGCATTAATCGAGGGACGAAACCGAAAGGAAAACAATTTTTTGCAAGTCAATGTTGATTTATATCGCACCGCGTCGCAAAACAAACTAAATGTTGAAGAAAATGTTTCGCTTACATGTTATGATGTTTTCTTTTGCCTTTGCGGTAATGCAATTAACTAATTGGATTAGTTTAATACAAATACAATACATTGAAGACATTATTTACGCGCTACAATTCGAAACAAACACAGTGTCGGGGCTGCCAACTTGGCCAAAAATTGTGGCCCGCCCGGCAGTGCACCACACTGGCAGCGGCGCGAGCCTGGTCACACTAATTAGACAACTGATTGGCCAGCTGTTCGGTCACCTCATTTTTGTTTGCCTTGCTTTTATTTATAAGAATTAACCAAATAAACAGACCGCCCCGCCAGCAGGATGTATCAATAAAGGAACGTAGAATGGAGCCTCTACCATGTGCCAGCCAACACCACCAACAGTCGCCGCAACAGCAGCAGCAGCAGCAACTCGGAAATCTCAGCATGGATTCGAGTCTGGCCGATAATGTGGTCAGCATACCCAAAGAACTGATTCTATTATCGCTCGTCTCCCAGCAGCAGTGCCTGTACAATCCCAAGCATCCGCACTATCGCAGTACAAAGAGCAAGGACGAAAAGTGGGCCGAGATTGGCGGACAAGTGGGTTGGTCAGGTGAGTAGTCTGCAGCCTGCAGCCTGCAACCCCATGGTGACCCTCAGAGTCATGTTCTCTGTCTTTCAGACACACAATGCAAGGGCAAATGGAAGGCCCTGAGGGATCAATATTGCCGCGAGCTGAAGCGCGCCAAAACCTGTGCCAAGCCCGTCAAGTGGAAATACTTTAAGGAACTGGACTTTCTGCGTCCATATGCGCTGGCGCGAAAGTAAGTAGCATCCCCAGGGTCAATAAACAGCCCACTAAGATTTTCTGTTTACTGCAGCTATCGGGGAAGATCTGGACAGAATGCAAATGGTGTTGTGTCCACAGAGCCGCCCCTCACGCTGCCCATAAGCAATTCGTTTAGCAGCAACAGCAGCAGCAGTCAGAACTTGCACCTAACCGGCAGCATTAAGATCGAAGATGCCACCGCGACCACTCTCCTGGACAACTGCAATATTGTTCAGTTTCTGCAACAGCATGTGCCATCTACAGCGTCGTCTGGGGCAGGGGTCGTCACGACTGCCACCGACAAGAAGTCTGGATCAGCTTTCATTACCAATCACATTAACACCGTCATGCAGCAGCAACTGCAGGCCCAGCCAGGCAATAACTGGAACTATCTGACCGATGCAGGAGGCGCCACGACAGCCTCCAGCATTGTACAGTGCGGCACGCAGAATGCCACCACCGTAGTGGAGATTGTCGACTGCGTAAATGCCACTAACAATCAGTCAAACTCTGCGGCCACAACAAAGGCAACAACAGCCACGACAACGTCGGCGTCGACGCATAATCACTCGACGAACGCCGAGGAGGAAGATGACGATCCCATACACACGTTCCTCAACATGGAAAGCTATTTCGAGAAAGAACTGATTACGCTGATACAGCAGGAGGATATGATCTACAACTATGGCAATGAAAACTATCGCAATGCCAAGCTAAAGATGGAGGTGTGGGAGGAGATAGCACGGAAACTAAAGAAGTCGGGTGAGTCTTCACCTAAATTGGCACTGCTTGGCACATTCTGAACTATCTGTCCTTGCAGTGAAACAATGCCGGCTTAAGTGGAAAGCCTTGCGGGACCAATACGCACGCGAGCACAAACGTCTGAGGACCCTGATGCAAATAGAGGCCACATCGCGCTGGAAGCACTACGACACTCTCAGTTTCCTTCAGAAGTACATACAACAAAAGGCGCTGTAAGGCACCAACATTTGTCTGGCTCCTCTGTGAAGAATATTTGTAACTACTTTGGCATTTTTTTCAGTGAGGCTGATCCTCCACTCAGCATGCTGCTGCCCAAGCATGATCTAGAGGAGCATCTGGGTGGTCATGGCTCCCACTCACCGCCGACACAGCCAAACACCATGGAGACGTCCTCGGGCAGTTCACAGCTTAACATGTCCCTGCCACCCCTGACGGGTCCACACAAGACGGAGTTGGCCAACGCGCTGCAAGAGCAGCAGCAGCAGCAGCAACAGCAGCAGCAGCAGGAGGAGCAGAACCAGCAGGCCAGGGAGCTTTGTGTGGCCAGCTACGATGAAATGGACATTGAGAACTACATTAATGGCGATGCGCACCACAACGACGAGGACGAGGAAGATGAAGATGAGGAAATGGAGAGCACAACGGTGCCGGAGCCGACTTCCCAGCAGCAAGAACAGCACGTGGTGGGCTATGACCATGACGAAAGCTCTGTGTACATGGCCGTTCAGAGTGTTAGCAATGCCTTGACCAAACATGAGCACCACAACGATACCTCGAGTAATATGGAGCAGCAGCAACAGCAGCTGCAATCTGCTGGGGGCTATCAGCAGAAGCTGGACGTTGAATTGACTTCACGTTATCAGAACGCGGCCACCACGCCGTGCTCCACACCGACTTCACGCTATTACTCCAATCAAATCTCACCCCTCAAGAGCGGACATCTGGAGTTCCCAGCCAGCGGCAGCAACGGCAGCAACAGCGAGGAGGATGAAATCGGTGCCTTCTTTAAGGCAGTGGCCATGAAGATTCGCAGTGCCCATATGGAGCCGGTGGCCTTTACAGATCTACAAATCGATATACTCCGTGTCATCAATGATGCACTGCGGAATCCATAAGAGATCTCTGCCAGAGGAACAGGAGGAGACCATAGCGGACCATATACGGTTTCAGGACGTTTCTGTTTAATTGTAGCTCATAAGTGTTATTTGAAAACTGTGTTTTTTTTTTTTAATTTATAGTAGAGTGGATAATTTCGTAAATTTCTTTATTATTTTGTGAACACCGAACGAACCCTTCAAGCGAAACGCCATTGGCAGACGGTGCATGAACTAATGTGCTCCCAAAATGTGTTTAATGTAATGTACATAGTCGGAACAGAACCATTTATACGAGTAGTGTTTAATAGCTTAGGAGGATGCTTCCGGTAGAGCCCACACAAGTCCGGAACTAAAAGATTTTGATTTACTAGTATATTTGTAACCAAATACATAGATTGTACGAGTAGCCTCGGCATACAATAGCCAAAACAAAAACAAAAAAAAGAATAAAATATACCTATATTTTTCAAGCAAATAATACGGGCTTTAATCTGATTCTGAAGACACTCCCAAAGAGGCTGAAGAGTCCTGGCAGCCCTTTTCGAGCCCCGCCACAGGGTATGCGAAAAAATCAATGCATCTGCCAGTTAAAACCGGTAGTTGATGTAGCTTCCTTTGAGGTATCCCCTTCGGCTCGCCCTCAGCCAACCGTCACCCTCAACCATCCACTCATTGGCGCACCCACGCGATTCCCGCAGCTCCAACACAAACATTTAGACAAACGACAAAGCGTAGGAGCAGCTGGCTTCAAGTGGAGCACACTTGGAGCACCATCTCCAGCACCATCCCCAACCCGAACGCAACTCGAGCCCAACCCAACCCCTTGGCGCCGCTATACATAGGAGTACGTACTTCGCTTGTATACAGACAGATACATATACAGATATCTATGGTACGTAGTACGTATGTGCCGAGCTGTATCCACTCTGCTCTTGCCACTGCCAATGGCCTCCCTTTGGCATTGGGCAGAAACCGGTTCGGGTGACGCATCCAATGGGTAGACAGGGCCGCTGTCTGAGCGAGACAACCGTAGTGTGTGCGTTCCGTACATAAGACCGTCAACGGGGGCGGTTCCCATTTATGGGCGTGGCCAATTCATTCCCATCCATCCATCCATCTATCCAGATGGCACCAGCTGGTAGTACCTGCTGCCGTTGCTGGTCTTTTTCCGGCTGCTGCTGCTGCTGCCGCCGCTGCCGCCACGGCCGCTGCTGTTTGCAAATTTATGTAAAAGTGAAAATTTTTTAATAAACATTTTCATTTTCAGACGGTAGTTCCGGTAGCCGACTGGACTGTTGCCTAATCAGACGGACATCGGAGTTTGGGCTGTTTGGCAACTGTTTGCCATGGTCTCCGTTCTACGCTTGATTGATTCCCCTCCCACTCTGACTCCCACACCCACTCTGACTCCCACTCCCATGTCGCTGCAATTGCAATTGGTTCGATGGTTTTCGGTTTATTCTGTTTGCTTTTGCAAATTAATTTCCATTCTCCTCGAAATGGTTGAGTGCGCGAATTTTAATTAAAATTATATGGGTGTGGGTGTGGGTGTGCGTGTGGGTGGGGTCTTCAATGGGAGGGACGGTATCGGAGTGGTGGCTTGAGTATCGTGGGATCAATTAATATAGTCGGAAGCGGTCTTATATTTCATGAAGCGTGGCCCAATGATATTTCTTAAACTTTACCCAGGATATCCAATCAATTCATTGGGAATTTTCACGCTATTCCTGTAGCTTAAAGGTGAAGTAACTCTCCATAATTCTTCCAATCTGTAGAAGCTAGATTCTCCTGAAGATTCTCTGTTCAGTTAATAAATTAAAGTGCACAGAACTAGCTTTCTTGTTTAAGTGTAGAGCCCACATACGAGTGATACAAAGAAATAATCAAAAATTTAAATTAAATATTCGGCTTTTAAATAGAAAAATAGGGAAATTACGGTCCATATTTAATCGAGATATAAAACAGTTTAAAATAAATTTATTTAATTTCAATAGGCAATTATTTAATTTAATTTGTTACATATTTAAATCAAATATTTTCATATTATACTCAAAATGGTGATTTTTTCTCTGAGTGCCTCGATTAAAGAGAGATTAAAGTCCTTTAATCTCCTGAACTTGGCTAATATTCCACAACCCCAAGATTAGTTTCGAGTGCTACTGAATCCATTGCGGCACCTAAACAAGGGGCATATCTATTTATTTCCAGAAGTAAAGCCCATCCAATACGGAAACCCAAACTTCTACCTTCTCTTTTACTTCCTTGAATGTGCCTTTGATCCATTTTAAATCGATTTACCTTAAAGACCATCTTTCCAAGAATAAACAGAAGACGAAACCGAATCCTTGACAATATTTATCTACACTCCTTACACCTTATCGCATTATGGCACATTTTCGTTTGCAATTTCCAGGACACGGAAACTATTTTCGCGGCTCATTTAACGGGTTCATGCTATCCCAGAGAAGAAATCATAAAAAATACATAAAAAAATACATATTTTTTTATTGCTTGAGGGCAACTTCTACGGGGACGAGCAGACAGACAGACAGAGAGAGAGAGAGAGAGAGAGCGAGAGAGAGAGAGAGAGAGAGACAAGGAGACAGGACAGACTGAGACACAGTTAAACCAATTTGCAACTCATTCCAGCCGCAGCGCCTTAAGTATATCAAATTTGCCAGGATTACGGAGACGCCTCAACGCCTTCACGCCCACGGGGCTGGACCGTAGATAGAGAGAGAGAGAGGGGGGGAACATATACTTATATTCGAAACTCATTTCCTGCCCGAAAAGAAAAAATATTAGGTACAAAATTTATAAAACGTGGAGCCGCCTGCAGCTTTGGGTCAAAGAGATACAAAGACAAAATGCTGACAAACTGTTGAGTGAATGTTTTTTTTTTTTGGGGTCCGGTCTCGGAGTCCATCCCCATCCCCCTACCCATACCCATACCCATACCCACCCCAGTCCCAGTCCCGATTACGATTCCGATTCCGATTCCTTTCAGCGCATTTTGGAGGAACTGTTATCATAAATAAAGTCAAGCCAAATGTCAGGGACAGGCCTCATATCATAAAGCAAATGCAAGTGGCGCAGTGAATCGGAATCGGAATCGAGGCGAGCGAGCAGGCGAGCAGGCGAGCATTCAGGCAAACCATTCACGATTTATTGTCCGATATGCGATGCACTTTTTCTCTCTCTCTCCCCTTTCAATATCTCTTTCTCTCTGTTAAACTGAATTGTTTCCGGGAACTGCTGTGGCAACAACAACAGCAACAACAATGGCAAAACAACAAAGCGCTGAAAAGCTTGTAAAACATTTGTAGCAACTGCAACTCAAGTCAGAGTACGAGTCCGAGTACGAGTCTGAGTCCGAGTCTGAGTCCCAGTCCGAGTCCGAGTCCGAAGTCGTTTCGAGTCTGGAGTTGGCCAGAAGGAGCAGGCAAAGCTGGGAAGGCTACTGCTACTGTTGACCACGTTCACCGCCCCAAAAAAATGTTTTATTCATAAAGTTTAGCGACAAGATCGTCGCCCGTATGCTGTTTGCTGCTACTGCTGCTGTTGCTGTTGCTGTTGCTGGAGTGTGGGGCATGGTGGGGCAGTGTGGAGTGCAGAGTGTCCGCTGCTGGCCAAAGACCAAAGCCTATGCTAATTTCACATGCAACTTATCAGCCGACGCGCATCTTGTCAAGCTTTTGTGCGGCTGTTAGAAATGGCCCTGATCCGACTCCGACTCCGACTCCCAGCTACAGCTCTCATCTCTGACTGCTGGATCTGTCCTGTCCCATCCTGCTGTCCCGTCCTGGGACCACATGCCGACCGACCGTTTCAGCCAACTCACAAAGGGGTGCTAATCGCCAAATTTACAACTTGATGCAAAACTTTTCTCCGCAAATGGGCCAGAAAACAAAACGACCGCAACTCGCCCAGAAAATGGCAAATGTGGGTGGGGCTGGGGCTGGGGCTGCGACTGGGGCTCGGGCTGGGGCATGCCTTGAAAAACTATAAAAATCAACACACCGCAGAGAGCAGAAAAGAGACAGCAGATTGTGATAAAGAGAGAGAAAGAGCGATGCCAGGCGGTTAGCAACTTTCACTCGCCCCCCAAAGAGGGCTACGAAAAATGTAACATTTGAAAAATGTACTTTTCCACACTCTCCAAAAAGCGCGACAATGAGAGAAGGAGGCACACTGGGGCAAGACACAAGCTGTCTCCAAGCCATTTCCATTTCCAGTCCCTCGGCTATTATGAACTCGCTCCTATGATCCTCTCTCAGCGAGTCTTTCTCGTTCTCGTTCTCTCTCGCAGGAATGAGAAGAATAACGGCCAGCAAAGTAACAGAATAGACAGCCAGCTGAAGATCAAACCCTGAGAATAATAGTTCGTGGCCAGTTCAGGCAGGGCTAAATGTTAAAAAAAATTCACTGAGAACAATCTTACAATCCGACACACAATGCTCATCCCATCGTTTTCCATCCACTGTGCGTTCATCTTCTGGGGATGGTTCTATCGGTTGGTCGCTGAAAGGATACTACTCCTTTTTTTCGTGTGCAACCACAGTGCCGGCCACACTCGTAGTGTTAGTTACAAGACACAGAACACATAACACTTTGTTATGTGCGCTTGACAAAGTTGGGCAGCGAGACAGCGAGACAGCACAGCGGTAAAAGTGCTTAGTGCCTTAGTTTAAAGCAATTCCTATCCTTTTTTTCTCTCCCGCACCCGCTCCTGGGGCAGGGATAACAGATAAAGCGCACACGAGGCTCGCGGGGGCAGGGGACTGTGAGCGAATTGGGTGCTAATATGGTCAAAGCACACAGCACCATTTTCAACTTCGGTGGTTTGAGGGATTTTGTGATTTTTTTTTTGTTTGTCCGTGTGTGTGTGTTGTATTTTATTTTTAAATTTTAAGATTTGCACATCCTGATACGGCGGAAAGAATGGAGAAACAAATAAATCTCGTACAAAGGAAACGGATAACGGATAGCGGATATTTGCGGAATTTGTAGACACGTGTGTGTGGAGAGCGGAAGGCATTTGGGAAACCGTTTAGTGGGGTGACTTTTCCCGCATACGCATACGCATACGCGCCCCGTATGCTGCATGCCCCAAAAACCAGATGGACTCAGTGGTGGTGGGGGTTTCGAGGAGGGAGACCTCGGCAGGGAGAAGGGGCACGGCACGGAAGGGTCTGCGAAAGTGCCAAAATGCCTGGCGCGACAACCTCCAACACCTTGGGCCAGTAGTGTCAGAGGAGTCAGAGGAGAGAGGTACGGCCCGGCCCGGCCCGGTCCGGTCCGGTCCGGTTAGGCATCCATCCGACAATCATCGACACATCCTTGGGCCCATGATCATCATCCATGATCCACTCGTTGCAGACGCACAAAAAAGCCTCCAAAACATCAGCGGCTGCTGCTGGCTGCCTGTCTGGCAAAATGTCAACTTTATTAAAAGAAATTATAAA